GTCGCGGACGCCATCTTCCGCCTCCTCCTCCGGCTGCGGCCCAGATGACGCCAGCGAGTCGCCACGCCGGGCAAGAGCGGCCCTCCTGCGCCTGTGAGGGAATGCTGGGATGCCAGCGACCGCCCGCGGAGGCCTCACCCCCCCCCCCCGCGCTCTGCAGCGCCAGGGGGCAGGGCTGCCTCTGGCCCGCCTGTTCTTTTGCATATGGACACCCACAATCCACCGCATCTATGAGGCCAAGATAGGCAGTAAAATTATGACAACATATGGGATTTTAGGTGATCCAAGAAACGCAAAGTAAGTGTAAGCACAGGAGTTGTTCTGCAATATGCCACTGTAGGAAACTGTGCTAAATATTAAAAAAACCCATCGATAAGTTCACCTCAGTGTAAGGTGATGTTATTGAAGGGCTTTAAATACCTGCGACGGGAATGTTGAAACCGTGCTCGCTTCGGCAGCACATATACTAAAATTGGAACGATACAGAGAAGATTAGCATGGCCCCTGCGCAAGGATGACACGCAAATTCGTGAAGCGTTCCATATTTTTGCTGCGGTGCGCCGCCGGTCATCTCGCTTTGCTTCCCTTCCGCGATCCCGCCGTGACGTCACAGGCGGCTTTGCTTTCCCTACCGCCTTCCTGCAATGACGTCACAGTGCCCGTCCACAATCCTGCAATGACATCACAGGGTCCTTTCCTTTCGTGATCCAGCAATGATGTCAGAGGGCCCTTCGCTTCCCTTCGGCCTTCCTGCAATGACGTCACAGGGCCCTTCGCTTCCGCCATCATGCAATGACGTCACAGTGCCCTTCCCTTCCGTGATCCAGCAATGACATCACAGTGCCCTTGCCTTCCGTCATCCAGTAATGACGTCACAGGGCCCTTCCCTTCCGCAGTCGTGCGATGGCGTCACAGGTTTGTGACGTCATCGCCTTCCCTTTTCCGTTTCTCGTTGCACCACTGAGGTTGGCGATTGGAGAACACTCTGGCCGTCCCCACTTGGTTGTGGCGCCCTGCCACCTGCCCCTGTGGCCCTTGCGCTACAGTAAATAAGTAAATGCTCTTCAGGAGCACATACTGAGCGCCTGCTGCATACACAAGAGAACACTATGGTTTAGAAACCCCCTTTGTGAAATTATGACTGAGACAGTAAAAGGGATCTAGCTTAATCCAATCCGTCTTCCTTATAACCTCCAAGATGTCCCTGTTCATTCCTGGGCGTAGGCTGAACTCACTGGGAGAAACTCGGTTTATGGTTCATCATTTAAAACAAAGATGGGCCGGGCGCAGTGGCTCCAGCCTGTAATCTCGGCACTTTGGGAGGCTGAGGCAGGCCGATTGCTTGAGCCCAAGAGTTCAGACCACAGGCAACATGGCTCTATGAAAAAAACCCTGTCTCTACAAAAAAAAGAACAAAAATCAGGGCTGAGCCCAGCGGCTCACGCCTGTAATCCCAATACTTTGGGAGGCCGAGGTGGGAAAATCACAAGGAGGTCTGCTTTGGGAAATGGCTGTTAACATCTTTTTTTTTGGGGGGGGTGGGGGGGACAGAGTCTCGCTCTATTCTCCCAGGCTGGAGTGCAGTGTTGCCATCTGGGCTCACTGCAACCTCCGCCTCCCTGGTTCAAGCAATTCTCCTGCCTCAGCCTCCCGAGTAGCTGGGACTACAGGTGCACACCACCACGCAGGGCAATTTTTTTGTATTTTTAGTAGAGATGGGATTTCACCATGTTGGCCAGGCTGGTTTTGCACCCTTGACCTCAAGTGATTCACCCACCTCAGCCTCCACTAGTGCTGATGTTACAGGCATGAGCCACCTAGCTCAACCCATCTTTGTTTTAAATTATCAATTATAAGCCGGGCACTGTGGCTCATGCCTATAATCCCAGCACTTTGGGAGGCTCAGTGGTGCGGATCACCAGAGGTCGGGAGTTCAAGACCAGCCTGACCCACATGGAGAAACCCCGTCTCTACTAAAAATAAGAAAATTAGCCAGGCATGGTGGCTCACGCCTGTAATCCCAACTACTATGGAGGCTGAGGTAGGAAAATTGCTTAAGCCCAGGAGTCGGAGGTTGCAGTGAGCCGGGATCACAACACTGCACTCCAGCCTGGGCAACAAGAGCAAAACTGCATCTCAAAAAAAAAAAAAAAATTATCAACTATAAACTGGGTTTTTCTCCCAATGTTAGTTCGGCCTACACCCAGGAATGAACAAGGACCAAGCATGCCAAATAAAAAATAGTTTTTTTGTTTTGAGATGGAATCTCACTCTGTCTCCCAGACTGGAGTGTAACGGCGCTATCTGGGCTCACCGCAACCTCCGCCTCCTGGGTTTAAGCAATTCTCCTGCCTCAGCCTCCCAAGTAGCTGGGATTACAGGTGCGCACCACCATGCCTTGCTAATTTTTTTTTTTTTTTTTTGACAGGGTTTTTCCATGTTGGCCATGCTGACCTCGAACTCCCAACCTTAGGTGATCCGCCCGCCTTGGCGTCCCAATGTGCTGGGATTACAGCCGTGAGCCGCCTCGCCTGGCAAAAAAATGTTTTTAAAAATCAGCTGAGCATGGTAGTGTGCGCCTGTAGTTCCAGCTACTTAGGAGGCTGAGGTGGGAGGATTGCTTGAGCCCAGGAATTGGAGGCTGCAGTGAACGATGATTGTATCATTATACTCCAGCTTGGGTGACTGAGTGAAACCCTGTCTCTAAAAAATAAAAAGGCCTGGCCAGGTGCGGTGGCTCACGCCTGTAGTCCCAGCACTTGGGAGGCTGAGGCGAGCAGATCACAAGGTCGAGAGATCGAGACCAGCTTGGCCAACATGGTGAAACCTGTCTCTACTAAAAATACAAAAATTAGCCGGACGTGGTGGCACGCGCCCGTTGTCCCAGCTACTCAGGAGGTTGAGGCAGGAGAGTTGCTTGAACCTGAGAGGCAGAGGTTGCAGTGAGCCAAGATTGCGCCATTGCACTCCAGCCTGGTGACAGAGCGAAACTCCATCTCAAAAGGAAAAAAGAAAAAGGCGCAAACACTTGGGGAGGCCAAGGCAGGTGGATCAGCTGAGGTCAGGGGTTCAAGACCAGCCTGACCAATATGATGAAACTCTGTCTCTACTAAAAATACAAAAATTAGCTGGTGGTGGTGGCGGGCGCCTGTAGTCCCAGCTACTCAGGAGGCTGAGACAGGAGAATCGCTTGAACCTGGCAGGCAGAGGTTGCAGTGAGCTGAGATCGCGCCACTGCACTCCAGACTGGGCAACAAGAGCTAAAAACCATCTCAAAATAAATCAATGTAAATAAATAAAAAGTAAAAAAGCCAACAGTCGGTATTTCCAGCTTTGTTGAGTAGTGTAACTGCTACCCTCTGCCGTTGTAGAGAAAACGCAGCCGTAAATGATACATAAATGGACTGGCACAGCTGTGTGCCAACAAAGCTTTGTCTACAGACACGGGAATTTGAAAGCTATGCAATTTCCACGTTTGATAGAATCATTTTCATCTTTTGATTTTTTTTTTTAAAGACTTAGAAATTTAAGAGCCATTCTTAGTTCACAGGCTATACAAAAAGAGGCTGCAAGTAGTCACAAACACAGCGGTCCAACACAAATAACAAACATAACTTTTTCTTTTTCTTTTTTTTTTTCAGACGGAGTTTCGCTCTCCCGCCCAGGCTGGAGCGCAGTGGTGCAATCTCGGCTCACCACAACCTCCGCCTCCCAGGTTCAGGCAATTCTCCTGCCTCAGCCTCCCGAGTAGCTGGGATTACAGGCACACGCCACCATGCCCAGCTAATGTTTTGTATTTTTGGTAGAGACGGGGTTTCACCATGTTGACCAGGCTGGTCTCGATCTCTTGACCTCGTGATCCACCCGCCTCGGCCTCCCAAAGTGCTGGGATTACAGGCTTGAGCTACGGCACCCTTTTTTTTTTTTTTTTGAGATGGAGTTTCACTCTGGTTGCTCTCAGCTCACTGCAACCTCTGCCTCCCGGGTTCAAGTGATTCTCCTGCGTCAGCCCCCTGAGTAGCTGGAATTACAGGTGCCCCCCCACCACGCCCACCAGCTAACTTCTTTTATTTTTTTGGGATGGAGTTTCATCGTGGTGCCCAGGCTGGAGGGCAGTGGCGTGACTCGGCTCACTGCAGCCTCCGCCTCCTGGGTTCAAACAATTCTCCTGCCTCAGCCTCTCAAGTAGCTGGGATTACAGGCATGCACCACCACGCCTGGCTAATTTTGTAGTTTTACTAGAGATGGGGGGTTTCTCCATGCTGGAACTCCTGACCTCAAGTGATCCGCCCTCCTCAGCCATTTCAGGCATCAGCTGCCCACCTTTTTTTTTATTTGTTTTTTGTTTTCCAGACAGGGTCTTACTGTGTTGCCCAAGCTGGAGTGCTATGCTGTAATGACAACTCACTGCAGCCTTGACCACCGGGGCTCAAGCGATCCTCCTCCTGCCGCCTCAACCTCCCAAGTAGCTGGAATTCCAGGTGCAAACTACCTCACCCAGTAAGAATCCTATTCTCTTTTGGACTGACAAACTCCTACTCATCCATCAAAGCCCCTGCTCCAATGGCCCTTCTCTGAGGAACCTGCCCTGGTTCTACTCCACCTCCCAGGTATTAGAGTTCCCTGGGAGGGGGTTAGACGCCTCTAAGTGGCAGGGAGGGGCCCTCCTTCCTGCCCCAAAGGGATTAAGGTCCCAGCCAGGCCTTCTCCCTTCCCCCGTCTGGCAGAAGAGGAGACTGAGGCGGAGAAAGCGACCCTGAGCAGGGAGCCGGCAGGAGCGCCACGTCCAGGGGGTCCAGAGCCTCCGCCCCTCCCTGCCTCAGTTTCCCGTCGCTTCAAAGTGGGCGAGGGCCCCCCCCCCGGCCCCCGGGAACCGGGGCGCTCGGGCCGGGCGGTGGTCGGGGGCGCCCCGAGGGGGCTCAGGAAGTCCGCGGCCGCAGGAATTCGGCGCCTCCGGACCTTATAAGGACATTTGCGCCCCGGGCCAATCGGCGGCGGGGGCGGAGCGCGCGGGGCCCGGAACCTCCCACCCGCGCCCCGTCCCGTCCCGGCCCGTGCGCCCCGTCCCGCCGCGCGCGCCAGCATGAGCTCCACGCAGTTCAACAAGGGCCCCTCGTACGGGCTGTCGGCCGAGGTCAAGAACCGGGTGAGTGCGGGGCGCGCCCCCCGTCCCCGCCAGCGCGGCCGCCGCGCGCTCGGACCCAGGCAGGACCCCCCCCGCCCCGGGAACCCCGGGACCCCCGGCACCGCGCGGGCAGGGAGCTCGGAGACCCGGGGCGGGGTGGCCCCCGTTCCCCCTGACGCCTGGGGTGTGTGTGGGGTGCGCTCTGCGGGTATCCCCTGAAGCCCCCGCGAGTCTGGGGGAGCAGCGAGGCCTGAGATCTGGGAGAAAAGCGACCCATTCATCTCCCCAGCATCTCGGGTACTTGGGTCTGAGCTCCTCCCCTAGCCATGACACCAGGACCCCCACATGTGAAGCCCCAGGCCCCTCTCAACCTTCGAGAAGGTCCGTTCAAGGTCCGAAAACGCTCTAGGGGTCTGGGGGGACCCCAGCAACTCCGGCATCCCCTGGCCACACTTCTGCTTTTGGGGCCTCTTAGCTTTGGGAGGGGAAGGGGCGGGGCTGAGTGGTTTTTGAGAAGTGTTGCCCCCCCACACACACAGGAATTTCCTGACTTCTCGGACACCTTGAGGGTGTCCTGCGGGCAGGGGTGCTAGTTCCTTTCCACGTTCTTTGTCCCCATCTGACAAACGGATAGGGACAACGAAGAGGTTCTCTGAAGGTGTCTCTAATATGTGGGGTTTTGCAGCCTGGAAACAAGAGCTGGGGCCTGGCCGGGCGCGGTGGCTCATGCCTGTAATCCCAGCATTTTGGGAGGCGGAGCTGGGTGATGGCTTGAGCCCAAGGAGTTCGAGACCAGTCTGGGCAACATGGCGAAAACCCGTCTCTATAATTTAAAAAAAAAAAAAAAAGCTAGGATTAGGGGGAGACACTTTTTAAGAACGCTCTTGTGGTTCTGGCTCAGAGAGGGGCAGACACTTCTGCGGGGTCGCACAGCAGGGTACTAGACAGGATTCCTAGGGAAAGTGGGGGGCGGGGGCTGTGATCCCAGTCCCAGGGAGAGGACCGGGACCTGACACTCCAGGACCTTCCAGCTGGTCAGTGGTCTCTCTGGAGGCCAATTTGGCAGAATCAAGCAAATGACGTTAAAACGTGCAAGCCCTTCGAAAAACTAGATTGTTTTCCAGGGGAGGTGTCGTCCCCACCCACCCCCTCCCCCGGCACCCACCGGGCACCTGGAAGGTGTCCTCAGGGCTGGCTTCTGCAGGGGAACCTGCCTCTGCACCTCGGGCACAGGCCGTGCCAGCCTCGACAGCCACCTGCCCCTCCGGCACCTGAGAACCGGCAGGCTGGAGGGAGAATTCCTGCTTCCCCCCGTGAGCTCCTCCAAGCCTTCACACGAGCTCTTGGCCAAAAAGGGAGGCTGAGGCTTGGGCAGTGACTCCCCCTTCTAGGGGACATCTGCACCCTGTATTCTCGGAGCCCCCGGTGCAGTGGGGTGGGCACCCTGCCACACCCGCCACACAGCCAGTGTCCACGGGGACCCAAGAGACGTCGTTCCAGCTGCCCAGGGCCACACAGCCCGCAAGGGGCAGGGCCAAGATGGGAACCCAGTGCCTGCTGGGCCCGAGGAAGTGGGAGAGGGCACAGGAGGGTGGGGCGACTTCCGCAGTCGGGGTGGAGAGGTGGCAGGTTGGTACCTGCCCTGGCGGGGGTGAGGGCAGAGGCTGGCGGGGCGGCGGCCCAGCAGGCTCCCCGTGAAACCCTCAGTCTGCCTGTCTGGAGGGTGGGTGAGGCGTCGGCCAGCTTGCCAGGGTCAAGGAAGGCTGGTATCCCAATTAGAAACCAGCTTCCCCTGGCTTCCGCCCGCAGCCGTCTGCTTTACCCGCTGCTAAAAACAGCCAGAGACCTCTGTCTCCCTCCCCTAATGCCCTGTGCCTCAGTTTACTCCCGGCTGGACGGCATGGAGGCAGCTGGGATCCACCGTGTCTCGGCCTTGCATTCCAGCTGGGGGGTCTGGACCCGCTGGGAACAGCTGGTTCAGATTTAGCCAGGGAGGCAGCACGCATTCCTGGCAGTTTGTGGTCAGCAGGAATGTGCTGGAAGGCCGGCGGCCGGGCAGCAAGGGGGGGCGACGGCCGCGGGGGGCGGGGCGGGCCAGGCCCCTCTGCCAGGGACCCCTGCCCACCCCCCCAGCCGGCAGGGACGAGGTGCAGCTGGGCAAGGCGGGGCTGTGCCCCCAACAGCTGCCCGTTCTCACTCCTCGGGATCAAAGCTGCCGGCGAGGCGGGGCTGCTCCCGAGCGTGGGAACCCGAGCTGGGTGGGCTGTGAGCTGGGGAGCCTCCCCTTTGCCTCTTCGGGGCCGCAAGCTGTCTCCAGGCAGGTCCCAGGTCATGGGACCCTAACGCAAATGATTCCGGGCAGGTCCCAGGTCAGGGGACCCTAACGCAAACGATTCCGGGCAGGTCCCAGGTCAGGGACCCTAACACAAGTGATTCTGGGCAGGTCCCAGGTCGGGGGACCCTAACACAAGTGATTCCGGGCAGGTCCCAGGTCGGGGG